GTACTAAAAGTCACTCAGAGCCTAGCACAGGACCAGGGGCCTTTGCTCCTTGTATGATATAAGGTAAATTGTTTGACCACTTTTAACTTTAATTTCCTATCCTCAAGATAAGAATAATCATTATTTGCAGAAGCTGTGAATTTGTGGAGCCATGATAATTTTGAGAGATTACAGTTTTTGCCTCTCCCCAATTTTCCCTTCCTCTTCTCCATAGTCAAACTTCTACCTGGTGTGTGTTCATAGCTTCTGGGAGTGTTGGGGTCAGGGAGGGAACAGGAAGTGTTTTAAATATCTGAATTTGTTTTTCGTATCTCTTAGCACTATGGAAACCTAAGGGAGTTGAAGGGCATATAAATATTAAAGTATAGCAGAGGAAGAAAAGCTGTCTCCCTTCTTAAATGCAAAGGTAGACCCTTGTAAAATGGTTTATGATGTAAGGCAGAAAGGATGAGAAGACACATATGTAGCTTGTGAGATCTGGGAGCAATGAATGACTCGAGGACTCTGTACCCTGCCTCTTCCACAGAGACCCAGAGAGAAGGGCTGCTTGAAGGGACAAGGTTGAAAAGACTGTGATGGGCCATGGGGTCGGGGGGACAAGAGACAGCCTAGGAGAGATTCACTGACTGGAGCAACATCCTGTATGGATCAATGACCAGGGACTGACCAGGCTGATACTGACTGACACAGTTAGGTCAAATAATACCAGCGTTCTATGATCCTCCCTGCTAGGAAACAAAATCCTAGTGAAAGAGAAGGACTTGAATTGATTAAAAAAATAGGATATTAAAACAAAAACTTCAGTTGGGTTGAAGTATACATTTCTGCAACACCTTGATTTCTGGGATAACATGTACGTACTCTCTGGCACATGATAGAAAACCAACCTGTGTCTACTTCTGCTATACATATTTCACGTGGCTGCTCTACAAGTCAATATTAACTTTTACTTACCCAGTGGTAACAGCCAGCTCAGTTATGAAGGTGGAGGTGTGGAATCCACTGCAAGTACTTTCTGAAGAGGGCTGATGTTGACTCACACGTAGGTCGGGAAGGGCAATCAGACGTGTAATGGGCCACCAGACACTGAATGGTTAAAATCACTAGGGCTGTGAACAGAATAAAGGAAGACTGAGGGGGAAGATGATGGCTGTCTTCAGATATCTGAAAGACTTATTGTGGAAGATAGAATGTCCTTGTTCTTAATTGGGATGTTGATGGCATGAATGTTTGATTTAATCCTCAGAAAGAGGAAGTTTCTCATAGCTGAGTGTTCATCAATGTCAAGGAATTCAAACAGATGCCCAATGTTCATTTTGTCTGGAATGTGGTCAGAAGATTCCTGCCTGTGAAGGAATGTGGTCCTGGCACTTTCAGTTTTAGGATGATATGAAATGTGGCAACTGATAGTACCAGATTCCAGGAAGTATACTCAGGGTTTTATGTCCTTAGCTCACTGAGTCTGTCGAAAAGCTGAATTTAAATTACATATTAATTAACAATTACATAATTCATATTACATATTATAAGGAATATTATTCTTATTTTGCAAATCTGGCTTACATACACATAACAAACTGCTAGAGTTCACAGTGCCTGTAAATTACAGGGCGACTTTTTGAAGTCAGTTCTATGGTATTAGAAGACCATGTACTTTCTACCACACACTCCATTTCTCTAACATGCTCTTTCAAAGGTAATGAACAAATCTTTAGTTCGAGGACTGAGCTGTCAAAACATACCGTCACTATATACTGACTAATGACAGGCACAGACCACTGAAAGATATTTAACTTTGATTTATATGGTTATATAGAAACACATACAAGCAATTCATGTTATGTTAATATATCCTATCTTCTAGGGGAATGTGAATTTGCATTGGTTAATGCGGTAATTAATTGTGCATGTTAATTTGGCCTAGCCCTGGTACTCAGATGTTTGGTCAGACATTATAGGTGTTTCTGTGAGGGTGTCTTGGGATGAGATTAATATTGAAATTGGTTGGCTTTGCATAATTGTCCTGCAGATTCATCTGGCTTGTCAAAGTGACAGAAGCTCTGCCAAGGCTGGTGATGTACACGTGTAATTCCAGCCGGCTGGGAGGGACACAAGGTTAAGCTCAGCCTGGGCAATTTAGTAACTTAACATGACCATGTCTCAACATAAAACTTTTAAAACAGCTGGGGATGTAGCTCAGTGTGAAGGCCTAATTTGAATCCCCATAACAAACACACACACACACACACACACACTTAGAATCTCCTTCTTCTGAAAGGCTAAATATCATTCCTTTGTGTATATATACTATATTTTCTTTATCCTCTCATTTATTAATGAACAAAACAAGCTAACAAAAAAGAAAAGCCACATGATCTCACGTGTTGAATGTAAAACAGTTGAACTCACAGAATGGTGTTTATCACTGGTTGGAATACAGTGAATAGAGAGTTTTTGGTTGAAAGGGTGCCAATTAAATATGAGGATGCGTTTTTGAGATCATTTGCACAACATGGTGACTAACAGTGTTAAGTGAAATAAGTCAGACACACGAATTTAAATATTGGATGGTTCTCTTACATAAGAAACTTAAGTATATATATATGTATGTATGTACATGGCAAAATAGAAGACAGCTAAATAGGAAGTAGGGAAATCTTTCTCAAAAAGATGAGGGGAACAGAAGGTGGAGGGAGATGAGAGAAAGGGGGTAGAAAATAAAAGAATTGCAGGGGGAAAACAGAGCTTTCGGAAATGGGAAGAGCATCAAGAGTTGGAAGGAGCAGGGAGAAAGGGGAGGGCGAGGAATGAGAAAAAGAATTAAGACGTATCGTGCACTTGGACCAAGTCCTCGCTATAAATGTAATCATCATGCACTGTACTTTTTTTAGCTTGATTTGATTATTCCACATTGTGTAACACATCAAAATATTATATTGTAACCCATAAATATATATATAATTTGTCAATGAAAAATAAAAAGTAAATTAGAACTAATCTTAATAAAAACTATTTTACAAATCAGTAGACTCTGAATTTTGTAGATTATCTTTCATTCTGTGGATGAGCCTCAAGCGGTCAGAGAAATAAAGTCTGCCTTGCCAAACAGGAGTTCCGGCGGCACACGGTCTTCCCCTGTATAAGGCAGCTCTTCTTTAGGTCTCCCACTTGCTGGGCTACTTTATAGCTTCTGGACTCACACTTCCCTAACTGCGGGTGCCAATGCCTTCGAATAAATGTCTCTATAAACCTATACACATCCTGTTTGTTCTGTTTCTTCCGGAGGGCAGCGGCTAAAGCACTTACTTGTATTTTTTTTTTTTTTCCTTTAGGTTTATGGTTCCTTTTTGCTTAAAAGATGTAGTGGAAAAATTACCCAAGGACTTGGAGGCAGCCGAGCCTTCAGATGAGACCACAGCCTTCACCCCTATTTTGATGAACCCTAAGAGATCGTTAAGTTGCACCCAGATTCCCGGCCGCAGAACTGTGAAACAATGTTGTTTCAATAAATTCTACGAGTGGAACTTAAGAAATTTCTTCGGCACAATCGAGTATAACAGAAACGCATTTGAACACGGACTCTGGGGACTTAGGTACGAACACATGACCTATTTCTAAGTAGTCTGCACCTCTGGGTCTCATTTCCCTACTCGCGATATCAGAAAGCCTAGCAGACTTTAGCCTCCCTTACATGTTATAATTCAATGTCTCTATTAACCCTGCTGTTTATTCATTAAAACAAATGCTGATAAAAGTCACAAGTAGAACACACTTCAGGCCTCTGGATTTGATGGCTGCAGGCCAGCTTCCTTTCTGCCCTTAGCTGTCTGTACTAGTCCTGCTCTACCGCTTTTCCCCACCCAGTCGTTTTCTACCTGTGGCCAATCAAGGTGAAATCATTTTTGCAGCGCTGTGCACATGGCCCGTGCACGCTCACATCAGAAACTGATGTGTGTACCGCTCTGGCATTCAGAGCTCCGTGTCTCGCATTTTGTGAATCAACTCTGACAATACACAGTGGGAAGACGCCCTTTTGCACGCGTGAGCCCTTTTCCTCCGCAGGTCCAGGAAGGCGTGTCCAGGTCCCTTTGCCAAGTCCGCTGTGTAGGAGCAAGGCAGAGCAAGCAGACTTTCTGCAGTGAACAGCTGCATTTGCTCTGGCATATCAGCCCCACTAAAAATGTTGTGCATCTTCTCGGCCCCCAGCTCCTATTCCTTCATTATGAGATGAAAGCGAGAGTGAGGGGGGAAGGCAAGAGAGGGGTGGGAGAGAGGAAAGCAAAGCAAAGCAAAGCAAAGCAAAGCAAAGCCAACAGGACAGAAAAGTAAAGCCATGGCCCTGAGCTCGGCGGAGGGGCCCGAGCCGGGACTCTGGAGGCGGGGAGCGCGCAGCCGCAGGCCGGGACACCCCGACGCCCGCGCGCCCCTCTCCCGCTCCGGGCTGCTCCTTTCCGCCACCCCGGGGTCGGCCTGGGGCTC